TCACAATCCTGATGCTCACACATGCAATGCTCCCTCAGTCCCTCCTCTGAAAGTCCCTGCTTATGACACCTCACCCCCTGGAGGTTAGTTAGGTCCTGTAAGACCTGACTGAAGTCTTACCCCATCCAAAGCTTTTCTTGAGATTCACTTCCCATTTTCCTCAAATGAGCTGGTTGCCATAGGAGACGATAACATGTCACACAAAAACCTGCCATGTACCATAGGATTATTTTGTGCTGAGAAAAATTGAGAAGCAGACCCAAGAAAAGCTCTCTGCCATAAAGTAGGTCATACATTTATGTACAAGGGCACCTTTTCTCCTATCATCTGAGGAAGGACATTGCTGGCTAGGAGATGAACCAGAGAAATCTACATAACAAGTTTTACTGACTCCATGTATTTTCCTTCCTATAATTTACTTCCCTGTGTAGACACCTCTGTTCTTTTGTTACTTCTCAATAAGACATCATTCTTTTTTTATTTTATGTATATGAGTCTATTGCTTACATGTATGCATGCATGTATATTGTGTGCACGCTTAGTGTGAAGTGCCAGATCCCCTGGAACTGGAGTTACAGATGCCTGTAAGCTGCCATGTAGATGTTGGGAAGCAAACAGAATTTTCTGTGAGAGCAGCAGGTGCTCTTTACCCCTGAGCCATTTCTCTAATCCCCATCATTCTTTTTGAAGATGTTATGTAAACCATAGCCCTGAACCTCTTCTTAAGAGCTACTTACCTTCCCCGAGTGGCTCCCATATATCCATGAGAAAGACAGTGGTAGTAACCACTGTCTTCCTTTACCTTTTATTGATTGGGTCCTGTCTCAGCAAATAACTCAGAAGGACAGAGAGAAAAATATTTTCTTTGTCTGTAGAGACTTTCTCTTGTATTAGCATACCCTGTACAAACCTTGCACAGAAAGACATTGATTTTTATCACCACTGACAGCAGAACATAAGAACCTAAATAGAGTCATGTCTGCATCCGAAGGGACATTTATTTGCATGAGTTGATGAATATGAAAGAAAATGACTACAAGGATGTGGCCTGAGCATTGGACCAAGTAGAATGAGACAGAAGAACAAGAAAGACTTCAAAGTATAGCTCCGCTATTGACTCTCAGTGGGTGCTCTTTTTCTCTACTTATTTTGCTTCTCTGTTACCATTGACCAAAAGCAACTTGGGGAAGAAAGAGTTTATTTGGCTTATACATACTAATTACAGTCCACCATGAAGGGGCGTTAAGGCAGGAACTTGAGACAGGACTCTGAAGGCAAGAACTACAGAAGTGACCACAGAGGACTGCTGCTTAGCTGGCTTCTTCCTTGTGTACTCCTCACCTGGCCTTCTCATACAACTTAGGACCACCTGACCAGGAGCTGCACCACCGACAGTGAGCTGGACCCTCCCACATTAGTCACTATTCAAAAAAACCATGCCCCACATATCTGTCTATAGGCCGATCTGATGGAGGCATTTTATCAACTGAGGTTGCATCTTCTCAGTGTCTCTCCAGTCTGCAAGGATTATAGCTAAGAATCAGCAAGGCTCAAACTGGAGTTTATTAGAAAGTAGTAGTATCCTGAAGAATCTTTACCCAAAGCTATAGGAACCCCCCTCTAAAGCTGTGCTGTTATAATCCTGAATGATGTTCAGAGGCCCCAGGGGCTTTAATGGACATTGTCTGCAATGTTAAATGCTGCAAGGCAAAAGGAAAGACTGACAATGTGTGCAGAACAGGCTGTGATTTGGAGCCTTGGAGCTTGTTTCAACACCCTTTCCATGCCTCTGGCCAACTACGTGTTGGGGCTGCTGTCTTTATTCTGTTCACTTCAGATATGTGACTGGAGGACGCCACATCTGCAAGAGGAAAATCAGGGGGCAAAGAATGGAAGGTCTTCTGAGATAGATGAACATCCTCCATTAACTTAGAAGCCATAATTAGAAAGATGAACAGGACCATCTCATAATGTCAGAGTTCAAAGGCACTTTTAAATGTCTTTTTAAAGAAAAACTGACCTTTATTTTTTATTATCAGAAAGTTTTTTAAGGGTAATCTGGGCCTTTGGTCATTTCATTTTGACATGGAAGTTCTTGAAAATAATTGTAAGGCCAGAAATACTTCACTTGGAAGTGACTGAGTGTACATACTCAGAAGAAGAAAAATCAGCAATCCCGAAGCATTGGGATGTTAAAGGAGGTGCCTCAGTAACTCCACAGAGCCCACATAGATGGGAGACACAACATGTGAGATGTGACTAATGAAGATGGCATCCCTACATATTTTCTCTAACATCTTAATTATTTTACAACATTCCATTTAGGAAAATTCCACAATATACCTCAGTGACTCTATACCTATGTGTCTTTGTTGGGTGGAGATTGGTCAACTTGAACTGCACTGCATATTCATGAATATTAAAACTTCTTTTAGGAGCATTTTTCTGCCATTATAATATCTGTTTAAAGTATAAACCACAGAAACCCCAAGTCATATTTAGTATTAATTCTGTCAAATGTCCTTATATCTATCAGGTCAAGCATCGTCACTAGAAAGACACAGATGTGTAATCACAAGCTCCATCCCCATCTTTCGTTCTAGCCAAGCTCTCTCCTCTCTCTACCTCTATCCCCTACTGCTCTGCTCTATGCTGAGTAATTTCGCTTGTTGAAAGAATGACCTATACATGGAATTACATACAATGTAGTAGAGCCCTCCCTTAGTTTCATACAACTGATAAAAACAAGTGTCCATTTTGACTTACTGGTTGCTGTGATGGCAAACACTAATCTGATTTTCCACCTTCGAGGACCTAGAACCACTTAGGAGACAAACTTTGGGCAGATCTATGGCGAATATTCTAGATTAGAATACCTAGAATATCGAGACAGGATTTTACATGGATAGCCCTTTGACTATATAGATCTTGGTGCTTCATTTCCAATATATTTAATAGGAATATCTCAATGTATACATTAGAATTAAGTTTTTGCCAAATTTTCCAAACTTGATTTTGATCGATCAACCAGACCTGGGAAACATTAACCTAAGAGATATTCATTTATATGGTGTCAATTGTCAGATTTTCAGTTAAATGTCACAACAGAATCAAAGTTTAAAGTTCAGAAGACTTCTGTTGTCCTTGGCTATAAGGCTACTTGGTATTAGTCACAGGGTCTTGACCAAGTGACAAACTTGCTTATTCTAGTTTCCTTTTCATCCCTGTGATAAAACATTCTGAGATAAACAACTTTGGGAAGGAAAGTATTTACTTGGGTTACCCTTGTAGATCACAGTCTATCATGAGGGAAGTCAGGGCAGGAAGTCAGCAGCAGCTTAAAGAAAAAACCATGGAGGGGTGCTATTTGCTGCCCAGTCTCTGGCTTGCTCATTTGCTTATGCTTAAGTAGCATTCTTACATAGCCTTGTATCACATGCCTAGGGGACAGAGACACCTATAGTGAGCGAGCCCTCCCTCATCGATGTGGACAACCAGCACAGTCTTTCACAGACATGCCCACAAGCAACCTGATGAAGACAACCACTCAGGTGAGATTCCTTTTTCAGGTGCTTCTAGGCTATGTCAAGTTGACAGTTAAGGCCAGCTAGGACATTGCCAACCCTTGATTTTCTCATCTGTCTCTCAGGATTGACCATGTCTATTTGGGTATGTGAAACACTCTCATCAGCACACTTGGCACTTAATGAGTGGAAGCTGCTTGCACTATTGAGACTGGTGTTGGCAGCAGCAGTGGTATCCTCGTTCTGTCTTTAGCACTTGGCCATCTTTCCCTAAATCTTTGCATGTTGCTTAATTTCACCATTTCTTAGCCTTTCCTCTAGAGGAGACCACAGTCAAGAGAATCACCTTTTGTAGTAGCCCAGATATTATTTCCAGAAGTGTAAAGCTAAGGGTACTCACCGATCATCCCTGGCCCCCACTTTTATTATTATGGCATCAGAGATGCCAACAGAGACAAACTGCAGTAAACTCACTGTTTCTTGTCAGGAGAAGATATTATTGGCCAAATAGATATGAGCAAGTGGGCACACTTTTCATCCCAGCACTTGGGAGACAGAGGCAGGTGGATCTCAGTGAGTTAGGGGCCAGCCTGGTCTACAGAGCAAGTTCCAGGACAGCCGGGACTGTTACACAGAGAAACCCTGCCTTGAAAAACCAATAAATAAACAGATAAATAAGTCGGTAAATAAACAAACAAATAAATAAGAGCAAGCAAAAGAGAATAAAAGGGTCAGAATAAAGCAGAAAGTTGTGTTTTCTGAATAATTAGGGAAGATTTTAAAAAAATGAATGTTACAGCTTCAGTGTTAAATGTTTGGTACAAATGCTTGGTGTGTAAACGCGCACACACACACACACACACACACACACACACACACACACACACACCAGTGGCTGAAGAAAACTGACTACCACTACTGCTATTCAACACTGCTTGCAAAAGCAATTCTGAGAACAGCTCATTTTTAAGTCTCAACTATTATAAAGTTCAGGAGAGAGCAGGCAAGATTATAACCACATCACAAGTATTAAATTTTAGTGAACCCAGAGACTTCATGCACACTCCAGCATGTTCTCTGCTACTGAGCTAAACCCTCAGCCCTCTTCTCAATGTTTGTTATGAGACAAGATCCCACGAAGCTTCCCAAGCTGGCCTTGGTCTTACTTCACAGACATGGTGTGCCTTGAACTTGGGGTTTTTCTGACTCAGGCTTCCAAGCAGCCAGGCTAAGAGGCTAGCACCACCAGATGTTCTTGCTCTAAAACTTTGTCTTAAAAACACATTGCAATGGAGATGTATCCTATACACACTCTGATCAGCAATAGGTTTTATTTAAGTCCGATGTTCAAATGAGTGATAAATGGCTGGACTTGATGATACAGAGAAAGAGCAACTTCCTCCTCAAAGAATTATCAAACACAGCTAACACCAAGGACCAAAAATCAATAGACAAGCAGGAGACCATGAGCCTTACCTGTTCTCAGCATCAGCGCTGCACTTTGGGGACATCAGTTCAAAGGATTTGGTGAACTTCACCACCTGCGTCATACAGAGAGACAGTAAATCCAGGTCAATTAAAGCATCCCACAGTTTAACACAATGCAATAGCAGCTTTCATCTCTGTAATGATCATTACTTTAATTGAGGATTAAAGAGCCATTTTAAGTGGTGGGGTGCCCAGATAAAAGAAGAAAGGTCTAATCCACGTCTTGTGCTTGTCTTCTTATGTAACACATTGCCAATACCACTTTACCAAGATCTGTTTGGTACCTGGGCTTGCAATCTTGGTATTTTATTATTTGTAATTTCTTTCCATTATTTTGCCCAAAGTACAGCAAGTCTAGGCTTAATTCTGCCATTTTATTACCAATGAGACATTTGTAAATGGATTTCATGCTAGAAGAAAAGCATATGATTGCTGTGCAAAAGAAAATAAAAGCCCAGAGCTTTCAACTACATTGTCCTGGATGACACTATCATTAAAAAAAAAAAAAAATCTGTGTAATTCAGCCATCTGGGCCAGCATTTTTTCAATGCCTGTCTTAAGGGTTCGATTGCTGTGATAAAATACCGTACCCCAAAGTCAAGGAGATGAAAAGCTTTATTCCAGTTTATGACTCAAGTCACACTCCATCAATGAGGGAAATCAGGGCAGGCATTCAAGGCAGAAACTTAGAGGCAGGAACTGAGGCAGAGGTCACACCAACTGACTTGCTCTTCTTGTCTTCTCAGTCTGCTTTCTTACATACCCCAGGACCACCTGCCCAAGGACAATCTGATAGAGGCTTTTCTCAATTGAGGCTTCCTCTTCGCAGATGACCCTAACTTGTGTCATGTTGACATAAAAACCAGCATAGTCTCTGCTTTGGAACTAGTTTCATCAACCTTCTGTTGCTTCATTAATGAATTCAATAATTTTTTCTACATGCTTACTTTACATTTTTTTGCAAAGTTAGGTTTTTATCTTTTAAAACTATTTATTTTTTTTCGTGTGTGTGTGTGTGTGTGTGTGTGTGTGTGTGTGTGTGTGTGTGTGTATAGGCATGTACATGAGAGTACAGGTGCCCAAGGAGGCCAGAAGCATCGAATTACAAAGAGCTGAAGTTACAGATAGCTGTAAGAAGCTTGATGTGTGTTCTGGGAGCCAAACTCAGGTCCTCTGCAAGAAGCATACATACTCTTAAGCACTGAGCCATCTCTCTATGTCATATTTCTAACTTTTTGACAATTGTCCTCTGACACAATAAATGTGCACTGAGTATCTGCATGTGTCAAACAGTGTGACAGGCATTGAAGCTATAGAACTACATGTGCAAAAACAACAAAGATGAATGTCACCAGGTTCCTGGAGCTTACTGTGGGGGGCTTGATTTTCCTTGACTCCTCAAACAAATGTTCCATAGGAGAAAATAACTGCACTTCTGGTTTTACACTTCAAGAAATCAATCCTAAGAAATGTCAAGAGAATAAAGACCCTTTAAAATTTATTTTCCATCTGGAAGCATTTTATAACATAGAGTGGGAAATTTTAAGCTTTACATGCACAGGTTTAGAATCACCAATAGTAGTAGACATACAAACACCTCTTGATAGAACTTCAGAGTGTTTTATTCTTAAAATGTACATGATGAGTATTTAAAACTACTAAAATAAAAACAAACAGACAACCCCCAGCAACAAACAAGCAAACAAAAAACCAAAAACTTTGCTGGAAAAAAAATAAGACCAAACATAAGGGATGGAGATGTAGTTTGGTTGGTAGACAACTTGCCTAACATCAAGTCCTAGATTGGGTCTCTAGCTTTGAATATACTGGACATGGGCACATGCCTGTAATCCCAGCACTTGAGAATGGAGGAGGGGGTAAGTTCAAGCTGGTCCTAGAGTCTGAAGTCATTTAGGGAGTCTGAGACCAGCCATAACTACATCAGACCCTATAAATTAAAGCAAAATAAACATGGAGCAGGTTCAAAATACTTTGCTTTATTTCAATTGTTTGCTGTTATAAATACATGTTTCATAAATAAAGAGAAAACCATTAATACTCATCTCCCAAGTTCATGTACCCTACAGTAAACTAAGCCATGAAGCCGTGATAAAAAAAAAGATAATGGGCCAGGTATGGAGGCACATACCTTTAATCCCAGCCCTCAGGAGACAGAGGCAGGCAGATGTCTGTGAGTTCAAGGTCAGCCTGATCTACATAGTGCATTCTAGGACAGCCAAAGCTGCATAATAGAGAGAATTTGTCTGTCTAAAAAGAAAGAAAAAAGAGGGGCTGGAGAGATGACTCAGGGGTTAAGAGTACTGGCTGCTCTTCCAGAGGAGTTGGATTCAATTTCCAGCACCCACATGGCAGCTCACAACTGTCTATAACTACTGTTCCAGGGAATCTGACACCTTCACACAGGTAAAACACCAATGTACATAAAATACAAATATATAAGTTGTTTTTAAGAAGGTTGGTGGTGGCGTGCACTTTTTAGTCCCATCATTCAAGAGGCAGAGGCAGGCGGATCTCTGTGAGTTCAAGGCCAGCCTAGTCTACAGAGCAAGTTCCAGGACAGGCTCCAAAGCTTCGTGGAGAAACTCTGTCTAAAAAACAAACATATGTAATATTTATAAATAAAGAATTTAAGGCTGGGGTCATAGTTCAGTAGCAAAGTGCTTGCCACACAAACAAAAAGACCTGTGTTTGATTCAGCAGAGTATGTAATAAAAATATTGTGTGAGGTGACACATGCTAGTAATGCAGGGCTGTGGAGACAGAGGCAAGCAGGTTCTCTACAGCCCCCTGGATAGCCAGCTTAGCCTGCTTGTCGAGTACCAGGTCAACGAGAGACCCTGACCCTGTCTCTGAAAGCGAGGTGGGTGACATTTGAGGTATAAAAGCTAACATTGTCCCCAGGCCTCTACATGCATATTGCATACATTATGCATGAGTGTAGAATGTACATGCACAATCTCATGGGCCAATTGTTACATTCATGTTCATCTCCCACCTCTTTCTCCCTTCCTCCCTCCTCCTCCTTTCTCAATAAAATAATTTAAATTTTAAAGCCCAGGATCAGAATATTTTTTGATGGCCAAATGTGATTCCTTCCACTAGATGGAGGGAATTATTAAATCTATAATTTTTCCTCTTTACTTAGGCTCTTTAGAAGCTCAAGGCAAAGCGCTTGGTGCTGTTTTACCATTATGCAGCATACTTCAGATTTGAATTTGTTGATTTGCTTTTGTTTCTCTTTTTCCATTGTCCTTGGAAATCATCTCATGCCATTACATATATAGAACAACACTCACAATATTTGTTCACTTACATTTTTAAATCATAGATGCGTGTGTTTATGTGTTATCACTGTTGTTTTGAGAAAGAGTTTTACTCTGTAGCCCAGTCTGTCTTCAGTCTCTCAATCCACCTGCTTTAGCCCCTTAAACTGAGACTATACACATATGGTACCATCTGTGCCTCTCAAAAACTTTAAGTGCTTTTGGTATTGAATAGAGAATGATTAGAAAGAAGATGAAGTATTTAAACTTGAAAAAAAATGTATATATGAAAAAAAAATGTGGATAAAATTTTCTCATAAGTGAAGTACTTGGTGAAATCCCTGTATGGACCACTAGGTTGTGTAGAAGAGAATTATGTAGGGGTAGGGCTAGGAACCGGGAATAGTAAGAAAGAGGAATACTTAATATCCTACAACTAGTGGCAGACGATATAAGAATAAAAGATCTTCAGGCCAGAGTTTCATCAAGAGAGTAATAAATAGGTACAGTAGTGAGACTAGAAGCCAGACAAGGTCAGGGAGGCATTGTAGCATCAGCCCAGGGCCCATAATGAAGTTGCCTTGGAACCAGGCAGTCTGACTTTGAAGGTTTCTGGTGCATTCAAGACTCCACTACTGTCACAATTCTAAGCTCAAAGCCACATATTCAGGAACCTAGGGCTATTAATAGAATCTCCTTATACAGTCTGACACTTATGGACAATCTGGAGTTAAAAATCACAGCTAAATTGACCTCAGCAAGTGGCTGGGAAATATAATTTTTACATGGACCTTTGTGTACTTTCAATGATGAACAATTGATTGAGAAGTAGCAGCATGATTCTGGAATGTAACCTCATCTGTTTGTCTCCTACTACTTAGAACAGGTGTAGGCAAAACTGAGCTGTGTTCATTTTCTACTATAACAGTAGAAAATGAAACGTTACAAATGATACTGTATTGGCCACCAAGTTCCAACCATTTACTGGGTAAGCCTTTACAAAAAATAAATTTGCCAATTTTGGTCTAGATCCTTCTGTGGACCAGGTCAATGATTAAGGGCTAATGATAAATTATTAATGATAAATAGATGTGATTGATCTATAATTCAGAAGGGGAATTCCTGGAGTTATAATCTTCTAAAGTAACATTATAATGATAGAAATTTTAGGTATCAAGGTGAGCAGCAGGGAATACACTTGGAGACACACAAATGTCCTGGTTGTCACAGAACAATCATTCTTTAATTAAGCGTTCCATCTTGGGACAATAACAGTGCCTTCTTTCACTTTCATAAGCGCCTCTAATAACAAATTCATGTCTTTATGCTTTAAAATGAACCTACACAAAGTATAATGAGTCTAGCTGGTCATAGATGATGACACCCACCTGTGATCCCAGCACAAAGGAGACTAAGGCTGAAGATCTGGACCAGCCTGGGCAACAAAGACAGATCCTAGAAACAGAATTGAGAGGAGGAGGAAGAGAAGGGGAGAGACACTGAGATCCATTCTAATAGATACTTGTTTGTGATCAAATACCCACAGCTGCAGAAATCATAGCCAAAAAAGCAACAAAAGAAATTATAAGGTAAAGAGAACGGAATTTACATTGTATTCATGATTTTAGCCAATTCTGAATCTTAGTTTTATTTATTTCATAAAATTTGCTGCACAAACTCCATTCTGATTTTATTGTGGACATAGATGAAGGACGCATAGACTCATGTACATGAATAAAGAGTTTTCTAAGGGAAGAAGCAGGAGTGGC